CACTTTTACATTTTACACTGTATTATTTATATGTATAATTTATTTGAATAATGTATTTACATTTATTTATTATATAAATATAATTTTTTATATTTATATTAAATATAAAACATTATATTTATTTATATATAAATATATATTTATTTATATAAATAATTATATTGATTAATCTTGTTATTTTTTTACATTTACACCGTTTGAATTTATCTTTAATTCACTTTATTTAATCTTGTTATTTATTTTTACGTTTTTACACTGTATTATTTAAATCATTTAGTTCTATTTTATTTATTTTTTTAATACTGTTTTCATCTAAACTTTCCCTGGACACTGGTTTGTAAACTCCTGTCCTAAAAAACGCTTAAAACACACTCATGCTGGTGTGTTTTACCCGAGCAACTAACATTCACACTTTCTCCAGATAAATAGTTTTTATGCATATTTATAATTCTTTGAAGATGTACATGTTATTAGTGAACATATTAACAGTGCAATTCAGTGTCAAATCCATAAAGCTGTTGAAAGCAGGCTGGATGGAGAGAGTGTCACTCGTGCTGATTGTGTGCGTTGAGCTCGTTCCTGTGAGCACCACACCCTCACCTGTCAATCACACCGCTGCAGGAGTGTGTGATCGTGTGGGACGATGAACTTCATCTCGCGTGCGTTCTTGAGCAGGGAGTGGCACTTCACTGCCGTCGAGAGAGTTGTGTCTCATACATCTCCGAAACACCATGATGCCACCACTGGTCTCAGTACAAATTATTCTGATACTAGAGCGGAGATGTGCAATGTGGCTGTGTGTTTGCAAAGTATTCGTATTTTTTATGTATTGTTAATATATTGAATTTTAATATAAATGTTTTTTAATAACTATTAATAACCTTTTATTATTATTAATAAGTAATTTTTAATAACTATAATCTATTTTACTATTACAATTTACTGTTAAATATAAATATTTTATATATATATATGTATATGTTGATGTAAAACTTTTATATTTTCAGTTTTCATTTTAGTGTAAGGTTGCTCTGTGTGCATGTCTGTGTGCACGCGCACACTTTTTAAAATTTTTGAATATTATATATAATGTATAAAATATAAACAATTATTCGTTGATTTTGTTGTTGATATTATATTTAGATGTCTGTGAGTGTGTGTGAAAATAGTAATATAAATAAATTACTTTTATTACTGTAATTAAACTTTTTAATTGTCTATTTTTATTATTGTATTTATTAGGGATGTTAATTTTAACCGGTTAACCGTTAACCGACTGTAAGTAGTTTTGACCGATTAATACAATCAGTTAAACGGTTTAAAAAGTCATTTATTTATAAATTTTTTTCAGTAATTTATAAAAATATTTAAAAAGGTTTGCTGCATGGTTAAAATACGCTACGCCTATATATAAAAATGTTTTGTTTTTTAGAAGAAGAAAAAAACGCAAGGCGAGTATAAGTCGCATTGTATTATTTCATTCAGAAATGGGTCTAATGCCGATGCGAAACGTTTACAAACATTACAATAAACACTGTAAACATAGCTAGGCTATTTTAGTTCCCCTCACTCCACAACAAATCATTTCAATTAACCGTATTTAGAAAAGAACAAGAATTAAAAATATAAGAAGTTAAAACTAATTAATTTAGGCTAAAACAAAACCGAAACCACCGTTGGGTCTCTCATTCTACACAAAATCAAATGTTTCCGTATTCACGATGTATTTATTGTTATTTTAATATATTTTTAATATAGGGTTATAAGGGAATAAATGTAGAGCATTTTTCCATATTTAAAGGGGTCATATGATGCTTTTTTTTAAAGATCATTATTTTGTGTATTTGGTGTAACAGAATATGTTGACATGCTTTAATGTTCAAAAAACACATTATTTTTCAAATACTGTACATTATTGTAGGTCCTCTATGCCCCGCCTCTCTCAAACGCTTCGTTTTCTACAAAGTCCCTCCTTTGACAAGCGCGCACATTTGGGCGGCATTATGCAAATATTTCCACATAGTGAGGTAGATATGTGGGGGCGTGTTAGAACGAGCCGTTTTAGGGGGGCGTGGCAGAGTTTTAACTTTGATAAAGAATATCTCTTCGGGTTTGAGACTTTAGTCTTTGCAACTTCAGGGATCTTATCTATGCACAATCAGCTTGTAACACTCCAAAGAGAAAGGAAAACTTGAAATCGCATCATATGACCCCTTTAAATTCTATATTAAAATTTAAAATTTGCTTTCTAAATTTTCAGTTTTCATTTGATCAATTATTATTTTTTTATATTTCTATTTAACTTTATTTTATTTCACTCCCAAGTAGTTTTTTTCAGTTCATTTTCAAGGTAACATTTCAAATTCTCATTTAATTAAAATAAATATTGATTTTTTATTTTTTTAATTATATGTAGATTGATTTTTTTTATTTATTTAGATTTAGATGATTATTATTTTTTCATTCAAATTGGCCAGTATGCAAGGCAAGCGTGATGTAACCATGTGTTTGTGAAGTGCTTGCATCAGTGTTGTGTGTTTCAATATAACTCTGGCCAAAAGTGGCACATAAATGTATGCATGTGTGGCGTAGCAGCTCTTCCTCTGTAATTCTTCTGATTTGAATGGAATGATGTCACCCCACACCCAACTAATCTCAGACGTCCCGCAGGGCTTTCCCTGCGCGCACACACACACACACACACACACACACACACACACACACACACACACACACACACACACACACACAATAAAATAAATATTGTTTTTTTTTTTTTTTATTATATGTAGATTGATTTTTTTTTTAAATTTAGATTTAGATGATTATTGTTTTTTCATTCAAATTGGCCAGTATGCAAGGCAAGCGTGATGTAACCATGTGTTTGTGAAGTGCTTGCATCAGTGTTGTGTGTTTCAATATAACTCTGGCCAAAAGTGGCACATAAATGTATGCATGTGTGGCGTAGCAGCTCTTCCTCTGTAATTCTTCTGATTTGAATGGAATGATGTCACCCCACACCCAACTAATCTCAGACGTCCCGCAGGGCTTTCCCTGCGCGCGCGCACACACACACACACACACACACACACACACACACACACACACACACACACACACACTGAGCCCCTGTGTGAGCAGAGGTATTTCTGGTGTTTGTTGACCGTGTGGATGTGGCCGTCCGGCTCAGGTCCTGACTGGTTTGTGTGTATGTGTGTGAGGTTTCTCCGCGCGCGCACACACACACACACACACACACACACACACACACACACACACACACACACACACACACACACACTGAGCCCCTGTGTGAGCAGAGGTATTTCTGGTGTTTGTTGACCGTGTGGATGTGGCCGTCCGGCTCAGGTCCTGACTGGTTTGTGTGTATGTGTGTGAAGGCTGAATTGTTTTTGTGGCGGGCCTGTCCCGGGTAGGTGCCTGTCGTATGAGGGTAGGGGTTGCTGAAGGGGCTCATTATCCACTAAACTCAATGGCGTCTTTGTGTTTCAGGCCGCAGGCCTAGAAACCCCTTTCCCAGTGTGATCTGATGCCTGTCTCTGTCTGTTCTTGCTGCTTCATGTTGAGCTGCTGTGATCACTCTGGTAATCCAAACTAGTCAGTTAGTGAGGATAACTAATGAGTCAACCGCTTGTTCTTTTTTTTTTCTTAAACTTTTAATGTTTTTTTGTAATATGGAGTTATAAAGGGAGTATGTGTAGAGCAGTTTTATTTAGTTATTATTTGTATTCTATTATAATATTTAACATTTGCTTTTATTTTTATATTTTCAGTTTTCATGTAAATTTTAATATTTTTTTAATGCTTTCTTTTTTGGCTTTATTTCTGTTTTAGCTTTCAGTTTTGTAATTTTAATATTTAATATTTTTAAATTTTAGTTGCCAAGGCAACATTACTAATTTTCAATTAGTGTAAATTAATATTTATATCAAATGAAAATGTTGTTATTAATTATATGTTATGTTTTATTAATGTGCTATTTTTATTTTAGTTTAGCTGTATTCAGGGTTATTGTAGTTAACGAAGGCAAAAACCACAAAAACATTTTTGTTATTTAAGGTAAACATTAACTGAAATAAAATAAAATATAACGGAAACGTTTATTGTTTTTGTTTTGTTTAACTTGAAGTACTACAATGTTTAAAACTAGTAAGTAAAAATTACTAAAAAGTGCAGTACATATTACAATGTATCAATCATTTTAAAATAACCATTTTTCCAGATTTAGTTAACAATAACATGTATTTCTGTTTTGCTTTAATTTTATTTTATTTCAGTTTTAGTACTTTAGTCCTTTGTTTTAATAATTTTTATTTATTTTATTGCCAATGTAACATTTCTAATTTTCATTAAAATAATATTTATATTAGATATTTTATATACATGTGTAATATATATATATATATATATATATATATATAT